CTTAAGCATTAAAAAAGTCACTGATTGCTCAAACTAAATCTATTTCAAAAATTTAGGTTAGCAAAGAAAAAGTACAGCAAAGAATTAACTTGCACGACTAACAGGAGAAATCCAATGCATGGGCTAAATCTCTCTAATTAACAGACGTTTTCAGGACCTCCACTGAACTTTTCATGCAAATAGAATGATTAAAAGTGTATTATTTTTCTTAAATCAATCACTTCCTGAAGAAGGCACCAAACATTTTGGTGCTATGCTGGGGCACTGGCACAAAACAGAGCTATCCAAGTCCTGTCCATCAGCTCCTACACACCTACCTACAGGTACTTTAAAATGCTGTTACCAGTTTCCCAAATCTCAGCCCACGTGGTGCAGGAGACTCTTGGTTCACTCCAAATGCAGGGAAGGGTCTCAGCTGCATCCAAAGCAGAGAAAAGATTGGAGCAAGAGAGGAGCTGTTTATGGTCTTAGTCCCTACGGAGAGGAGCAAAATTTATTTTTTCAGTAATTTGTGGTTATGCCAGCCTTCCCAGACACATGGCAAAGCATGTCCCCCCATTGTTTGCACGGACAACAGCTGAGACTGTGTAACTTGGCAAAGCCCCACGCTCTGACATTCCCCACAAAGCTATCTCAGCCATCCATCAGAAGGTTGGGGGAGGCTGTAAAATGAAACCTTCCTAACCCAGAGGCAGCCCTGCTTTTGGCTATCTAGAGCCTCCCACAAGGCAATGCCTTTTCTGGTGATGCAAGAGCCCATCCACCCTGTGGGGAGGGCAGGGGTATCACACCCTCTTCTGACAGAAAAAACAATATATTGTGACTTGGTGTTCACTGGGGGCAGGAGTTAATACACCATAAGTCAACATGGGAGAGGAGAGCAGACATGACAAACAGCCTGGCGAGAAGGAGCTGGCGTGTTCCAGGCTGAGAGCTGGCGAGGGGGATCCCGGCTGTGGTCAGCCCATGGGAAGCAGTGCCAGCTCCGGCACTTTGCCACCACGCTGATCCTCACAACAAACACTGAGGCTACGTCCCAGTGGCTGCCAGATCACTGCTGGCTCTCACTGCCTGCACGCTGGGGCTGACAGGCACAGGGAAGGGAGACTTCTGGGCTCACCTACACGCTGATCCCTAATACTTAAAATCCACATGCCGCTTTATATCACATCTTCCTCGACGCATGAGCCATAATCCTTGGCATTTCCATGCTAAGCTCCAGCTGCTGAGCTCAAGGGAGAGCTCTCCAAAGGGAGTGTGCTACCCCTGTGTTGCACACAGCCAAGAAGAGCCAAACAGCCTGTCTGACACTGCACGTCAAGGGCAGAATGCAGGTCCCAAGTCCTGCTCCTGTGTAATCAGAGAGCAACGCAGCATCTCCCCACCCTGCCCTGGCATCCTCCAGCCATTCTCACAGGTGGAGGTGTCAGTCTACCTGGCCACATGTCCTGCATGCAAACCCTCCCCCTGAGCCTGCTGCTCACACAACCTACTCTGCCTCTCAAGCTGTTTCTTCAGCAACACATTGGCACTTGCCAAAGGCTGGGTGAAGCCTGTTGGCAGAGCTGCCAGGAGGTGTTTGCCTCCCTCCCTTGCCTGAGGTCAGCAGGAACCCCCATCCCAGCACCTGACAGCTGGTGGGACACAGCTGGTGCATCACTCACAAACATGAGCTACAGGAGGACAAAAGAATGAATGTAACGATGAGCAGAGAGAGACAGGCAGGGAATCTGAGATATCTGCTTGTGGTATTAATGACTTGCTTGTGCTACTGTAACCAAAATCTTCCAGCCCTGGGGATGGTTTGACTCTGGGCTGGTTTGTGGATCCTTTGGGCCAGGGTTTTTTTTTCACAAGGTGTTTGTGTGGTAGCTGACACAGTGAGGCTCTGAGCTCTGGGCATGGGATCAACAGCACCACCAGCTTTTTATAAAAATATAAAAAAACCTCAGTTGTGTTTGACTGACTTGTGAATAGACCTCAGATGAACCCAAGAACTACTAAGTATGGCTTGGAACTAAATTTACTCCTTTCTTTCTACCTCTTTTAAAATAATACTACTAATAGACTGTAAGCAAAAATCACACAGCTGGTGCAGCATTGATATTCTCTGGATGAAGAAAGATATAAGTACACATTAAAAATGAAAATTAACTAAAAAAGAGCTCAAAGCTCTTTGGATATATTTCCTGAAATTTTGCTTTAAAGTATTTTCCTCTAGCAGGGCTTAGGAACTTCTGAAAGTATTCCACTCTATTTGAAGTTTAATACAAGCTGCAGTGCAGATATTTCTGATTGTGGTTACCCATCTCCCACAATGTAAGAAAAGCACAGCACTTGCAGCTTGATGTTTCTTGAACCACCTCTATCTCCTGCTCTTCCCATGGGTCATTTCCTTCAGTGACAGCTCAGCTACTTCCTAAAGATGAACTGGGACTGACACATTGTCTGTGCATGGCAAGACAGGGTAACAACAGCTTCTCTCACTCCTCCCCCCAGCACGGTGCTGACCTCACACCAATGGGCCCTTTTTTATCTTCTTTTTTTCTTTTTTTGTCAGCTGCTCAACTGAACTCCATAAAAATCCATAAAAACACCACAAAAAGCCATTCCTATCAGCCACTGCACTGGCAACACTGAAGGTTTAAGCAACGAGCCACTTCAGCCCCAGCTCTCCAGCCCACCCCTAAAAGACTCAGATCTGGAGATGTTATTCCAGCCTCCCTTGTGCACTGGACTTCAATCACAGCTCTCTCCCCAGCCCACCCCCAGCCCTCTCCCTCTCCAGAGTTCCAGGGCCCACATGTTGGATGCACTCGCCTCCCGCATCGCTGATGCTGGGCAGGGAGGTGGAGTCAACTGCTTCCATGACAGACTCATCATGTCCCTCACAGCTCTGCAAAACTTAACTTCCCTGGAAGGATTTCAAGGTCTGACTCATGTCCAGTTCTTCTATTTTAATCATTCCCTCTTACATCATTCTCAGAGGCCCACGGTGTCACATGCAAACTCCCCCAGCCCCCTGCTCCTCCTCAGCTGAGCATTTCACCCACTGCTGGTCTCCCCAAACAAAGCTAGGCAGAGAAATATGTGTGATACCAACTCCTTCCCTACTCTTCAGAGTATTTACCAGCTGTGATGGCACCTAATAAGGGCTTCCAAGTGCTCTCCCCTGCAATGACAACACTGAGATAGCACAGGAACAGCAGCCGCGCCAGCAAACGTGGGGATGGGAGAGATGGGACAGACCAGGAAAATCCCTGAAGGTTCACAAACACCCTAAACCAGCTGGGAGACAGCACCAGCCAAGAGATAAGTGTTGGGAAGGGAACCAGGTCAGCTGGCTCCTGCTTTCCATTCTCCCAGTGACTTCCTGAATAACTCTGGATGTCACTTAATCTTTCTGTTCACGCTTGGAAGTACAAATCGGCAGCATCAGTCCATTCAAGATTTCTTAAAACAGGGATGGAGCCCAAACTCTCTGAAGGAACTAAGCAGAACAATGGTTCTCATGCTCAGCCATGTAATCCCTCCTCTAGATCCCAGCCTAAATGTCTCCACGGCTGAGAGGTTCCCCGCTGATCTCAGGGGAGCCCCTTGCTCGTAACAGTGACCGCCAGACAAAAACCCTTGCCTGGAAGATTACAAATCTTGGCCAACCAACAGCTGGAACACTGCAGCGTGCTCTGTGCAGAACTGAGGCAGAGAGCAGAGCCCCTGCACCTAACGACAGTTGCTGTGTTTGTTTTACCCTGGCCAGTGAGTCATGGTTACATCCACGGGCCCTGCAGTTATTCATCACGGGGGGTTCTGGTGCAACCAGCCCCTTGCAAAACCATAAGATCTGGTGCAGATTTCCCCTACTCCCCAAAAGAAACTGCTTGACCTGTCCCTATCCCAGGCAGAGAAGAACAGCCAGGGTGAACGTGGCACTCTCGGGATGTTTGCATGGCTTTTTCACTGGGAACACCAGCAAGAGGTAGGCGTGGGACTCCCGGGAAGCACGTTTTGCATGCAAGAGGGACAAGGGGAAAGCACTGGATTTTTCCATGTGTGGGTGAGTGGACGTTTTACAAGAAGCCTGTGAATGCAATGATGTCCAGAGGTCGAGACAAACTCAGATTAACATGAAGGACAAGGTGCAAAGGCAATGAGATAGAACAGAACTCCAACGTGTCTGATCTCTGTACCGATTCCTGGAGCGAAAAACTTTATCCAGTTTGCTAAAGGAGACATGCAAAACTGCTTGGAAGAAGGCTGATGTGGGAAAGGCTTTATTTCTGTCCTTTCCCTGTTTCCTTTGCTTACTTCAACATTTTCCCCACCTGCTCTTGCTTTTTGATACAGTCAGAACAACCCTCCTCATTCCTCTATGCAGCTCTGACAGCTTCCACCTTGTCTTCAGCCCTGCCTGCAAACACCCCCTCCTCCTGGCCAAGCTCTCACACCTACCTGGTCCCCTTGCTCCTCAAACTTGTCTTCCCCTGATCTGTCACACCACCAAGGACAAAAAGGTTCCTATACAAAACTGCACTTGCATTAAACAAAGCAGGATGGGACAAGGGTTGGAGAGAGTCACAGTAAAAGAAGCAAACGGGATGGGGCTGGTGAGAGTACAGGAGATGTAACAGAGGGAGTACGGACACCTGGAATGCTGCAATCATGGCTGGGAATTAAAATGTGCATCCAGGGAAGACGCTGGCCAGAGGGAGGACAAGGGGGGAAGACATTGTGGAAGAGAATCTGAGAAGTGTAAGACCCAAGGGAGCATGGAGACAGTGTGAAAAAGAACACGGAGTGGGCAGAGCGTGGAAGAAAGGAAGATAACAGCATCTCTATCTTCGCTTTTCTTCCTGTTTGAGAAGAAAGGCAGGGAAAGGTTTGTTTGATCTCCCCTTTAGTTCCCATCAGAAGATATGAAGGGACCCAGCCAAAAGCCAGATGTTTTCTTTCCAGTTTCATTCAACAAGGTCTGCATAATAGACGAGGAAAAACTTTACCGGCCTACCCATCTTGCCCCTCTTCCCAGGAACTCCAGGGATCCCCTGCAAGGAAAAAAAACACAAGAGAAAAAAAAATAATAACACGTCTGGTTGAGAAAGCAAACAGCCAACCAACAATACAAAACGAATCAAGAGGAGAAAGGAGAATGCAAAACAGGCTAATGACTGCGGCATTGTTCGGGAATCAAAATGTCAGCTACTCGCAGTCAGCTGCGAGAGCAGAAGACAATTAACCTTCACCCATTAACTACGGCCTCCCTGAGGACACGCGCAGGCAGCCCCACCCAGGGCAGCGGGCTGGGGCTGTGCTTAGCAGGAGCAGTCATTAAGCTACTGGTCTGGAACCGAGTGAAGGCCACCGCCGAGGCAGTCACTGCAGAACTTGTGTTTGTGTTTCTTATTTAGTTATACAAGCATTAAATCAGCGTCGCTACAGCGCAGGGCAGCCCCCTCCCAGGCAGGCACGCACACGCTCACTCCCACATGCTCCCGGGGCCTCTCGTTTCTGGAGATTGCATTTGAGGGAGAAAAAGCTGGAATAGAACGGTCTTCGTCTTCCAGCGACATTCTTTAGGAGCTCTTGTGGTGGGAAGAGCTGGGTCCTTGGATGGGAAGAGGGCAGGTGGGTGGGGGATGTGGGGGTGAAGAGCAAAAAAGCAAGGGAGGTCCTGCAAAGCTCTGAACACGTGGGTTTGGGGAAGGGATGGGAGGAAGGGAGGACACATGGGAACAGCAGCCACAGCTGCCCGCCCCCCATCCCAACTCAATCCAACTGGAAGGAAAGCCATTGTCAGAAAACCCCAGACACGTTCCCTTCCAAGACCCAGGCTCTTTTCAGACATCTCCAGTTGGACATCCAAAATGCTGAGACAGCGTGGCTGGGATGTCACTCCTGTGGGAGCAGGGAATTTCTACGTACATTCTCCCCACCCCACCCCATCCCACTAAGATGAACTAGTGAGTGGGAGGAGGAGGGCAAGCTTTTAAGTGAAAGAAAAATACAGAAAAACTCCTCTCTAGTCAACATCGAGATCTGATGGCCCTGCCTGAAGCCTGGGTTCTCCTGAGCTGAATGTCAGCATTATACAGGGACACAGGGCAGGAAGAGGCTAAGGAAGGCATAGTTAAATATGAAGTGTTCTTGTCTCTTTCCTCAGGAACAAGGGATAGGGAAGGTTACATCAGTCTCTGAAGAACTGCATTCAACCAACACGCCAAGGTTTTCTTCACAAAATACTCACTCGTTCTCCATCAGCCCCTGGGAGACCAAACAATCCTGGGAGACCAATATACCCCTAAAGGAAAGAGGAAACAAGTAGTCAAAATACATTTCTCCATTAGCTTCCAGTCAGTCTGTCTTTCCTGGACAGCAGAGCAACCTCCAGCGTTGGTCAATGGCAGCCGTGATGAAATAAACCTTGAGGCAAGTGTATATGCCCATGGACTGCATGGTGCTGGCTTCCACGATGTAGTCCAAGGGCACATACCCTCACACCAGGGATCATGAGGACTCCAGGCAGGAAGAGGCCAGCAAGAAGAGACCTTACCTGGGCTGGCTCTAAGTGTACCTGAGGGAAATGGAGCTTGGTTCAAGGTTAGAAAGAGTGACAGCAAAAGTAATCCACAGGCCTACAACTCATTTTGTCTCCCCAAGGGCTCTTTCCCTGCCTTTGGCGCTCATTTCCAGCTGTCCTACTGTACCAAGACCTTTCTGCTTGTGTTTTGTCACCTGGAGGTCGCACATTGAAGCCCCTTCTGAGGCAAACCTCTTTTCCTGGCACCAGGGCTCCGAGGGGAGCGAGTCCTGGCTCTGCCAGAAGCCTGTCCCTGCACACTCTGTCACATCACCAAGACCTTGTGCAAACCCCAAAGCACCGAGGGCTCTGCCTGGGCTGGGAGGGGCTGAATGTGCCATTCCAGGCTTGTTGGATCCATATGTGAGGCATATCTTGTGCATCCAGATCCTCTGACACCCAGCTGTAAGGAAACCTCCTTTGCACCAACGTGTTTCACATAAAACCTGCTACTTCCACACATTTCTCTGTGGCCTTGGGATCCTGCTCAGACAAGACACTGCTGCATAAAATGCCACGTTCCCCTTCCCTTGCCACAATGGCAGCCTTGTGTTTAATCCCTTTGCTCAGCAGTCAGGACAAAGTTACCTTGTGTGCTGGGCCCCTGCAAAGGACTGATTTGTGCCAAAGATGCCGGATCAAGAGGAAGTGGATTTCAGCAGGGCACCTCACTGTTATACAAGAGCCAAGTGCTAACACTGATCTTCTCTCATCTTTCTTTCTCCATCATCACTAAATCTCTAACTGCCAATGCCACCAAACTTTTTCACCAGTCCATCACTCCCTTCAGGTTGTGTTTCCTTTAGGGATAATGCCTAGCTGGGAAATACTGCTACATTAAAATGATCCTGTCTGTCTTTGCCTCCTGAATCCCAAACCAAATCACACTACTCCTGAACTTCTTCCTGCAGAATTAAAAAACAGAGGTGGAGGATGGAGAAGAGTCCAGAGCTGGCTTACTTAATCCACAAAACGTGCATATCTCACCCTAATACCCAATTCTGATTGACTGCAGTTGAACTGAGAAATAACTTTCTTGGGTATTTACAAATATTTCAGTCCTCAGCACTCAGGGGTGCAAAGTGGAAAATAATTCCCAAGTCTGACATTCTGCACATATCTCACACATGATAATTACACAAGGTCCTGGGTAGGGCAGTGAAACAGATGCATCAAGGAAAAACTTCAGCCCTTGCAGAAGTGAGGTGAGCAAGCTGTGCTCTTGGATCTTCCCTTCTCCTGCAGGACACTGAACGTGCCATCTCCCTTCCCAGCTCAGGAATACAGCTAGCTACAGGGTCAGCATTTGTTTATTCCTTGCAGTTTTCCTAGTGATGAAAGCCAGCTGGTTGAATTTACTGCATATAGAGAAAGTATCACATGTTAGAGAAACGGGGGATTTTATTGGCTTGGAATCTCATTGTGAATTTATAATTGCAGGAAAAGAACAAAATGTGATTAACAAGAGCCTTAAGTAGTAATAAAAAAAAATCCCTTGCAGTAAACCCCCAGCAATTATATTTGGTGAGCACAACCAGGCAGGAAGGAGACATTGTTTGTATTTGCACATGGCTTCAAGATGCTGGCTTGCTGTTCTGCATGATGATATAAATCACTCCCAAACCAGGACTGTACCCAAATAAGCCCATGTGCAGCGTGGTCAAAGACCACTGAACCACACTTATTGAAACTGAAGAGGCCTTGGGGAGATGGGGCTTGCAGGCTCTGGTAGGAATTTGTAAGCTGTTCTTTCCCCTCCTGCAATGTGAGCTCTGACTTTATCACCAGCACTCTACTGGGGAACTTTGATCACGGTAGATTCCATGTTTAATTCAAAAAATTTAGCAGTGCTTCAATAAACAAGCAGTGCACAGCTCAAATCCCCTGAATCCAACAACTTAAAGCAACTAGTTTCAGGATTGCAAAATCAAGTATAAAGTTTCTTGAGGAGGCTTTGATAAAAACAAGCGGAGAAAAGGCAAATGAAAGGCTGCTTACCCGAGTGCCTTTTGGGCCAGGTTCCCCTATGGGGCCAGGTAAACCCTAGAACAGAAGGGAAAAAACAAAGACAAATGTGGACAAGCTTTAACTAAAAATAACGAGCAGTGCCAACCCCCCAGCACCGTCCCTGTGTGGTTCTGCTTTAAGTGCCGAGTCCGAGGTGTATCAACAAAGGAGAAAAAAAGGACAAAATGATACAAATAACAAATCTCCCATTGTTGGTGAGCTGGGACTCGGCAGAACCTGAGACTGCTGCACGTAGTGAGCCTTCCCGGGGGCTGGAGTAGAGATTTCTGGTCATAAAGACCACAAGGGCTGTGGCAGTGGGGAGCCCAGAGGTTGCATTACATTTCGGATGTGACACACAGTGATGCTCTGTGCTCAACAGCCCTCCTTTCATTTTCCTGCCTAACTAAACACATGCATAGCAAACGTATTCCAATACCTGTTTAGGGAACACTGATGCAGTGAGAAAGCCTCTCTAATTTCTGCAGCCTAGAAAGTCACTTAGCAGTGCAGGCACTGTGATATCTCTGACCCTTTGCAGCACCAACGGCCATGGAAAGAATTGAAAATACATTCCCCATTCTACTTCTATGCCTGTTACTACTCACTTAAAGTACTGCAGAAGAACAACACTGTAAAAATGCAAAATGAATTTTCATGTTTATCATCTAGCAAGTTTCCAGATCAATTTTTTTTTTTCTAGTTCCAAATGTTGTTGGGGTTTTCTAGGAGGGGAAGAAAAAAAAAAACTTAAATCCATATTTTCTTCAGCTGGCAGCACTGCAGGCTCAGCCTGGGATGTGAAATTGGGCTGAGCTCTTTCCTGGCCCCTGCACTGTTGCCAAAGATTTCAGGCATCAGGGTGAAGTTAACAATCCTGCCTGTGATGCACAAACCAAACCCGAGCCAAGCGCTCTCTCCCAGGGCTGCAGAGCCAGCACAGCTGACAGGAGTAACAAGTAGTAAAATCTCAGTAAAGTAAACAGCTCTGATGCTGGATACACACAGCATTGAGATATGCTGAAAAAAGCTGCCTTAAAAAAAAAAAGAAAAAAAAAGTCACTTTCTTGACCCAAACCACGTTTTAAGAGGGTATTTCTGTTCTTCGAATGTTGAGGCACAGATTTCATCCTGGTTATCTGAAGGGCTGAATTGCTGAACAGCATTCATTAACCTTGTCTGTCCAAAATACCTTGGACCTCTTCTTGTTAGTCACCTAACATGCATTCACACCTAGGAGACTCTTTGGCATGCCCATCTCTAAGGGCCTTTCAGGGTATGAATGGAGCATTTAGTCAGGTGCATAAAGCTCCCATCCAGGTCTGCCATCTGCACTCTCCAGCGTGCTAAGCAAGGTGTCAATTTAATTTTCAATTTAAAATGGGTCATACATTATTGACAGTCTGAGGCAGGGGGATGTAGACTTGTTCTGCAGATCTAATTCACATTTAATCCAATAACTTGGAGACATCTGGGTAAAAATCTCACATCTGAACTCATGATAAGCCTGAAAGACTCATGACAGAGCCCTTGGGCTTTTTGACATCTGCCTGGTCTTTTAGCTTAAAGATAAAGGTGGCAGGATCCAACATTTATGTGTTCATTTTAGAAAGCCATGACAATCTCATTTTACCACAAAATGTTAGAGCTGGATCTTCTGCCTCCAATAGATTTCATTTAAGGTCTTACAAATTCTTTATTTGCTTTCTACTACTCAGCATCTTAGATCAGTAAGACAGCAAAGTGTCCAATCTTGATTCATTTTCCAGTGCACACTCCTCCATTCCTGTAGCTGTCTTTGTGAATTTCTTTTCCAGAATGCAAACAAAGACTTGCTTTACTCTCACTATCTTCCTGCATCTGCAAATGTGATTTATATATTTATGGTCTATGCATAATTTTACAGGTGTTTAGATATGTATACGTTAATGCATTTTACTAGTGAGAGTTCATCTAAATCTTCTTCTTTGACAATACACTTTTTTCCATCCCAGGTTAGCAGCTTGCAGGTGTGTTTCTTTGCTCTGCTGGTGTGGGTTTTTTTTTCCCTGCTGCTGTACTGAAGCAAAATTTTGTCAGAATTTCCTGCAGAAATTCAAGTTTTATCTATCATAGGCACAAAACATTTCCTAACAACCTTTCAGATTTGAAAGACCACATCATTGATACATCATCTTGGGGAGGGAAGAAGGAAAATATTCAGAGGTCAAATATTCAAATCCTCAGACATTTTCTAGAGGTCTGCACCGTCTTTAGTGGGGCATGAATTTAGCAGGGCATATATTTAGCTACCTGCACACCCAAATCCCTAGTCTGTGCACAGCACGATGAGATTTACTGCACCTGCCTGCCAGGATAACCTTTGGCACCTGGACTTCCAGCTGGTCCTCGTTCTCCCTTTGGAAAGAAAAAAGAAAAGGCACAGAAGGTCAGGTGAATGTCCCACTCGGGAAGCATTTTTAGCTGCTCCATTCTTTGAGCTGGGGGAAAAGGAGGTGGAATGGATTAACCTGATGCACATTTACAGAGAGGAAAAAAATATTAAGGATAGACAGTGGAATAAATTAATGAGGGGGGGGAACCCAGAGAAGCAAAGTCAATAGGATCCATGTACTAAGCATGGATTTCTCCTTCCCCCTCCATCTGCAGGGAAAGCAGCAGATAGTCTGAAACAAGGAGGCTAAGAGAAGGTGTAAGGCTGCATCTATATCTGGCATATGGAACCGTTTTACTGCTGGGGAAGCACTGCCAAAATTCTTCAAAACTAAATGGATTCATGTATAATATCCTTTAACATCGCTGCTAACAGGGCCTGCTATTCATTGCCTTTTTTTTTTTACTGCACTGCAAACATCAGACTTAACCAAATAAAGAGGGGGGAGAAAAGGGGGAGAGGGGGAATGGGCTTCGGGAAGGGAATTACATGTTAGTACTTAACATGATGTGGTTAGTAAATTCCAGGTGAAATTAATGTACAAAGACAAATAAAGGGGGAGGAGGTTAACCTGGTATGTCTTCCCCCAAGTAAACTTAACATGGTTGAGCAATAAAATTTAGAAATTAAATTTGGGAAGTCCAAGGCAGTCTCCTCCCACCGCGCTGCTGATGCTGGGTCAGTGTCTGGTGGCAGCACTGGAGCTCACGGCACATCCTGGAATATGCTGAGCTCCCTGGAAGGAGCTGGCTGTCCACACCGGGCAGGCTGCACCAGAGCCAAACTAGCACCAGTCAGCATATCCATCCCTCCTTAAAGGTTCAGTGTTGGGAACTGGGAAAACTCACCTGGTCTCCAGGGTGACCTGGCGGTCCAGGGTAGCCTTTATATCCCTGTCAAAATAGGATGGGAGAGATGAGTATTAAGAAACAAAAATATAATGAAATAATCTGTTTTGGTTTCCTCTTTGCAGGTGGGAGTAAAATTCTGAGGAGAAGCAGGATTTTAGATATGGGGTAGCACTACATAGTCAAGCAAATTTTTAACATGCTGCTTTGTGCTTGCATTGCCCAAACCTGCCAGTGTGCCCCCCTGGGGTCTGCAGTGGTGCTTACTCCAGCAGGAATTGCTCCATGAACACATTTAGAGTGGTCTCTATGCTCAGATCTGTCTATTTGTAATCTACACCTTGAGCAAAGCTATCCTTAATCCTCAGGAAACCACAGGCCTATAGGATTAAATGTTGGCTTTGGACAGGTTGGGGACTACCCAACATGAGTCAGTGGTGTTTCAGAGCACTCACTCTCACTTCAGAGCCTGAAATGCCACAGGAAACACCAAAACAACCATTTACTGTCACAGAAAACTTCAGTTCTGTTTCTACCTTGAACTTGTTCTAGCATTCAGTTCTTCTAATCTAATTATTACAAGATATGACAAGATCACATCTTGTTATGGTGAGATGACAATGGTGAGCAAGCTGCCTCTTAACCTGCTCTCTCTGCTGAATTAATTAGAATGAGTTTCAATCCAGCTTGCTTGCTGGCAAGTGTTTCAGGCTTCAAATCATTCTCGCAGGTCCTTTGTAAACCTGTTTCAGTTTGTCAGTACTTTTTTGGGGGGATGCGGCACTAGAGAGGGACAAGGGCAGTCTGTTTAACTGCAGACTGAGCAGTGTGTTTTCTAAGGGCATTTGCTTTCTCCTGGATTTACCTAGAGCTCTCTTCAAACACAGAGTAAATTCTGCAAGTGACAGATTTTTTTTCCCCCTTTTCTTTATTATCTTTCTTCAACTATTTAAAACAAACTCACTTCCATCGAGCCAGGGCAGAGCAGATTAGAAGATTATACTCAGTTACAAAGATGACTGTTTAACTGGGCTACCAGCAAGATTTAAAAAAAAAAAAAAAAGAGCAGAAAATTTAACTTGAAACAAATGTAGAGAAAAAATAAACAAGGAACAATCCTTGCACAAATACTACAGAAATAACAAAATGCTTTCAGGACGGGTTACAACTAATTGTAACTCGGTCCCTGCTGCTCACCCTGTCCCAGGCAGGACTCTGGCACATGAAACCTGTGGGGAGCATCCCTGCTCTGGAAGCCATCACCACCAGACCCCGGTGTGACTGAGCACTTGGCCTTTTGCTCCACTCAACAGATGAACCTGGAACTGTTTCTGCCTCCAGGTCCACACCTCTGCTTAACAGCTTTTTTATTCTTCCCATGGGCCATTCCAGACCTGCAGTCTGAGCCTTCCCTGGCGGTGGTATGCAACATTCTCAGCCACGCTGGCCACTGCCCGCTCCCCTCTGCATTCCTCCTTCCTTGTTATTGCAGACATTCTGGCCTGGAAAGATGTTGATTCCCTTTTCACCAGTTCTCTCCTGCTTGACCTTGCTGATGTACCGTGGCTCACACTTTGGATGGAGCTGCACCTCCTGACAAGGTGGTGGCTGACCTGAAAGACCACTTGGCTACTGGCGGGCCCTTTTTTGAATCACCTCGAAGGTCCTTTCTCCAAATGCTGCTGGAACACTTCAACCAGGGGCTCCTAACTGGAAGTGCCTCAGCAGCTCTTGGCGTGGGACCAGCAGACAGGACTCCTTGCCCCTCCCCAGGAATGTGCCCCATGAGATCCTCTCCCGCTTATCCTCTCCTTGGCTCCTCAACAGAAAGCAGGGAAGATGTTCCACACTGGTTGGGTGTCTGGCCTGAAGGTGAGAGCTGCCAACAGCAACAGCCCTGGGTTCAGCTGTGCCCTGGGATTTAGCAAGTACCCATGAGGCTTCCTCCTGGGGCCTCTGCCCAGCTCTTCCAGTCTGGAGCAGGAGCTACCTTTGTCTCTAGACAGCTGGAGCACCTGCATCTATGAATACAAACACTTAGACATGTCTCACTTGCTCCACTGATAAGAAAGAGGTGCCTGGCTTGGCTGCTCCAAACCACTCTGCTCTGAGTGGGTCCCTGCAGGACAAGTGTTTCCAGCCTGCAATGTCCACCCAGAGCAGCTGGTTGGATGATGGTTCCTTGAGATGCTCAAAGCAGGTCCTGAACTGAAGTCAAACATTGCATTGCTATCCCTACAGTCACAGGAAGTGAATGGCACTTAGGTTAAATATGTAGACACTGCTGTGTCCTACTACATATCCTCCTCACTAGATATACTGAGCTTTGGGAAGCTTCAAACCTGTGTTTCTTCATATTACACCACAGTTATTTCTGCCCCAGGTTAATTATAGCGAGGGAAAACCAGAAAAGCTTGTGTGTACTAAAGTTGGCTGCAACGTGAGATTATTTACCTGCTAAAATCCTCTTCAAATAGCACTAAAATGACAGGGCAGAGGGTATGAAAACAAGTGCATTTGCTCTTCTATCCGAACACTTCCTGATGATTACAGGGTGCTCAGCACAAAGGGCTGTGATTTAGAAAGGAAATAGCACTCCAGTGAAGGATTTACTCATCTGTGATGATATTTATAATCCACTCTCTCCTAGCTAAAAGGGATCATGCTGCACTTTGGTAGGAAATGTGAGGAGTGAAGAGGCCAGTGAATGAGACCTGCATAACAGGATGTTTTGAAGCACTGACCACTTCCCAGCTCTGTCTTTACTCTCTGAGTGACTCTAACGAAGCTTTTCCTCTCTCACTGCTGCTATCTCTACAAACGTGTATTTTGCTATAACTGTTTTCTCCTCTGAAGCAACAATGCTGCTCTGCTGAGATTATCTCCAAGGCAGCTGTGGTCTGCAGCCCCCAACCAAAAGCCAAAGCCCACAAACACCTCAGGGGCACCAGAGGGACGGGCAGAGGGAACAGCCAAGTCCTGCCACCCTTCCCAAGTCAGCAAAAGCACCATTCGCTCTCCCGGAGAGGATGAGAATTACATCTGCTGCTTCAAAGGCAGTTTCATCTACTCATAGACATGTGCAGGTAAAACAACGTTGGGGATGCTCTGAGATCCGCCTCTCCAGTCCTCCAGAGCGCAGGTCTGTCTGCATTCCCAAGGCAGGCACTGCATTCCCAGGGCAGGCACTGCATTCCCAGGGCAGGC